TTGCATATTTATAATACTAATGAAAAATGCTAATAATAATGGAATAGCTGAATAGATTATGGTAAAACCTCCAGGTAGAAAAGTTTCAAGACAATATAGCAAAATTGAAAACAATAAATAACACTTATTAACTACTTATTATGTGCCATACACTGCTGAAATTATTACAGAATACTCTCACAACAGTCTTGTGACATAGGGATTATCAAGGAAATTGAGCCTTAGGGAAGTTAAGTAACTAACCCAAGGTTACACATCTAGTTAATGTCTGATTCTGGACCTGGACCCAGGCTGAACAATTTCAATCTGGTTTTAAATAATGCTGTGTAGAAACAAACAAACATTAAGGAAAATAGCCAAGAAGAGCTAACATTTATTTACTGAACACTTGTGATGGGCCACACTTGTGTGAGGTGCTAGATATATGACTATTTGAAGCCTATTTGAAATATGAAATGAAAAAAATACATTTGATTTTTATAGTCTCTGTAAAGTGGGTACTATCACCATTATATCCATTTTGCAGGTGAGGAAAATGAGACTCAGAGGGACACAACATTTGCCCATAACTAGAAAGTGGCAGGACCAATTCTGTACTATTGACCTTACATAAATAGGTAGCCAGATATTTCTCCAACAAAACGGGTTTATTCAGAAACAACAAAGAATTACAATTCAGAACATGTGGTCTAATGGTGAACAGTAAGTCCAGAGAACAAAGGGCTGTAACATGCTCTTATAGAGGAAAGGGGAAGTTCAGAGGGGCTTTTGTAAACAAAGAGTCCATTGGAGGAAACTGGTAGTTCAAAGTATGGTGGATTTTCATTGGCTGAGTTGTAACAGTCTTTCATTGGCTGAGTGGTTGCCAGGCAAGAAAAAGATCCATCTTCTTCCTGCTGGAGTAACAGAATAGAAAAACTTCTTTCTGTTGGAGATCTAAAGTACCAGTAAGCCTTTTCCTGTTTTAGGGTAATTAATGGTGAGTGGTAGGGTGTGAGAGCACCTCCTACAGGCCCTCCCAGCTCCAATTTAAATGAGGTTTCTGTTTTGTTGTTGTTGTTTTTAAAGTTTTTTGTTTAATTGAGGAACAGCCATTGTAATTGCTTACACAATCCTTTCATGCTACAATGGCATAGTTGACTGTTTTAAGGAGAGCGCAGCTCACAGTGGCCCATGTGGGGTTTGAACCAGCAACTTTGGTTTTATCAGCACCACGCTCTAACCAACTGAGCTAACCGGTCACCCCTAAATGAGGTTTCTGTTTATTAATCTTCACAACACTTAGCTGCCTTACGTATCATGCCCCTTTGATGGGTTCTCATGGAATGGTGGGTTTTATAGGTACTGTTTTTTTTTTCTCTTTTCTCCAAACTATCTGGAATGTATATATTTATAATTTAAAAACAAAATTCAATTGAAAAAGAATTCCACAGCACCTCTAAGTTTTTACAGAATCTGAATCTCTTCATGAAATGCATGAAGTCCAATCAGATAGCAATCACCCCTGCTTTGCATAAAACTGTGGGGTTTCTACCTCCATCGTCCCTGGCCAAGAGCTTGAGTTTGGCACCAACTTCTGGCTTCCTCTCTCCTCCCACATATATGCTGTGCAACACTGCATTACATTTCAGCTTTTAATTGCTTAGAAACAGACGAGTTCTTTCAGTGTGGGTCAGCATGGGAGGAAAACATTTCCCTCAAAGTGGTAAGCCTACCTCTTAGGGCTGTTGTGAGGAAAGGGCAACCCTCATCGCTGATGCAAGGGGTCAGTTAAGGTTGGTTTTAACAAGCGAACTCTCTGTGTCTTGGAGGGCCTTTGTTTACAGAGGAGGAACAACAATGGAAGTGTTTGGGGTTATTGCTTAGAGTCAAAAGCAAAGGACTGAAATAGGGACCTTGAGATTGGTTGGTGGTGTGGGTTATACACAATAACAGACAAAAGTCATGGAACCACAGAGCATGAGAACTTGCAGGGCCTCCAGATAACCTTCGTTATACTGTCATCTTACACTTGAGGAAACAGAGACTTGGGGGTCAGAGTAGCCAAGGGAGTAAGCCCTAATTGAGGCTGGCTTGTCCACCCCACCACCAGGTGTTTCATATGAGATTTCTCCTTTCATCCACATATCTACCCCTTTGCTACTGACATCATTGTCCCTATTTTACAAATAAGGAAACTGAGGCTCAGCTGAGGAAATCTCTTGTTCAACTTGCCATTGCTTGTAGAGGAGCCAGGATTCAAAACAAGATTTTCCTGATTCCAAATTTCATGCATGCCCTCTCAAAACAACCTGCTGCCTCCAGCCAGAAAACCTAGGTCTTACCTTTTAATATCTATGTGACCTTGAGCCTCTATTTCACTATCTATAAAATAGCGATAATAGCAGAGGAGAGATTAAATGTGATAGTTAAATGAGGTCATGCATGTACATGATAAAATTCTGTAAAAGTTTAAGGGTTTCCCTCTCTCTCTCTCTCTCTCTCTCTCTCTCTCTCTCTCTCTCTTTTCTTTCTTTTTTTTTAGTATCCAAGGTCACACTGCTAGCTGGTGGCAGAGTAAAGTACACCATGTTCATTTCTGTTTTGACAAGGTGTGAATCACAGCTCTGGTGCTAACTAGTCCAGGTTCCTCATCTGTAAAATGGTTACAATAATAGAATGTATCTCATAATTTTGTCCTGAGGCTGCATGGGTAGAGCGCTTGGCACAGCATCTGGCATTCACTAGATGCTAAATAAATGGCAGGTATCTTTCTGCCTTCTTTTTCTTGTCTTCGACCATAAGCAATCTCACCTTTGGTCAGGTTAAGACCTTCTTGGGCCCTAGGAATGATTTTTGTGAGTCTCCCTGACCCCATCACAAGTTATAGTAAAAGGATTTCACATTATATATGACTTTTAATGAAATTTTCATGTTTAATATTGGTTTTGAATTGATTTATTGATTTTGATGGCATTGTTTTTTTCCTAAACTTTGGAGCCAATGTATTATTTTTTCAGGTCTCAGACATTTCCATGGGCCTTACAAAGCTACTAGGCCCTGGGCCCTGTGTTTGTCATCCAACCCCNTATATTCACTTATAGTTGACATACAATATTATACAACATCAGCTTCAGGTGTACAGTGCAGTGATGAAGCCTCTACCCCATCCATGATGCGGTCTCCCTAGTCAAATAATTTTTAAGTTGTTGTGAGGGACAGGATTGGCTCCTTCAGGGATCGGTAAACTTTTGAGGCGGATCGTACCCAAAGAGCCGTATGTGGCTTGCGAGCCACAGTTTGCCGACCCCTGGTTTAGAGGGGTGCCTTTTTCTACTTGCACAGACGTTACTTATGGGTTAGTGGTGATGATGGTGATGAGGGCCTTTTGGGGACACTGACCAAAAAGCTGAGGTATTTAAAAGAAGCCCCTACATCCAGCCAAAAGCTGAGTGGGACTCTAGCACCCCTCGATGGGTAAACAAGGAACGTCTAAGCCCCCTTCAGAGCTCTCCTCCTTGTTCCAATTTCTAGCCTAGTCATTGCCAACTCCCTGCTCGGTCCTCAGGGATCCACCTGCCCTAGACTCCTTGCCTGCCCTCCTTCGCCACCAGTCTCCTGGGTTACCTTTCAGGTGTACCTCGATGTGCCCTAGATACCTTTCAGTGTTACGAATCAGGCCATAGGTTCTGGTGCAAGAAAAGTTACACTGCCTTCTTTTCATTAAATCAACACCAGTTGGTCTCTGAGTCCCTTTCCCTCTGCCCTGGCAGAGCATTCAGTCTTGGTGGTTATTTATTTATTTATTTTTAAGCTGAGCCATCCTGCCACCTGTTGGCAGCTCAGCGGCTGCTCAGCTCGGGCCAGGAATTGAACCCGCTGCTTGGTGGTTATTTTGATGCTCTTCTCCTCCTTGGGGCGACCCGGGGCCATGAACGCGGATGGGCCTTTAGTGTTTGGTTGTTTGTGGGCCCTGTTGATATACTCCTCATCTAAGCTTGTACATTTCTGAGGGGCTGGAGGTTCTGCTGCAAACCTGACCTCGGGGGCTTTGCCAGGCCCGGAGCCTCGTGGATTTGTCTATGGACTGTCATTCTCTTCTGCTGACTGTAAGCTCCATGAGAGCAGAGACATTTTTTTTGGTCACCACTGTGTCCCCAGAGCCCAGAAGCTAATATGGATCCAATATTTATTGAACCCAAGAAAACGTCCAAGGAACTTCATGTCTGTAAACCTGCTCTCTCCTGGAGACAGCTTGGACATGTTTGGAACTGAATGACTTCAGTCTGCTGTCCTGGCTGGGCCAGTCTCTTTTCTCGTATAGAGACTTCCAATATCCCCTCCACTATCCCCTCTCAGAGGTCAGAGGACAAAGCCTGGAGGTGGCTGTCTTCTACCTGGCCACATCCTCCCCCAAGGGAAGGGAACTTTGCTACCTACTTAGAACTGGGTTTTTAAAAAGAAATACAGCAAGAACACAGATTAACACCTCAACCAATTCCCCAGCCAGTCTATTTAATTCCTTCCTACTAATTCTCTAATGGAGACCCTCACCACTTTTTTTTTTTTTTAAGCTGAGCCATCCTGCCACCTGTTGGCAGCTTAGCAGCAGCTCAGCTTGGGCTGGACTTGAACTGCTGTTGCTCAGAGCTCAAACTCTTGAGCGAGCTCTTAACAACTGAGCCACTTGGCCGGCCCCAAACCCTCACCACTTTTCAGCAGGGCTCTGCCCAGCCTCTTTCCTGGTCTTCCCCAAAATCCATCTCCCACAGAGCCAGTGTCAGCTTTCTAAGATGCTAATTGAGTGGTGTCTCTCCCCTAGCTAAGACCTTTCCTTGGCTCCCCACAGCTTTCAGCTCTACAGCCAAATGTGGCCTGCCTCCTGCCTGCTTCCCCGGCTCAGAAATCCAAACCCCAATATCACCCAACACAGCTCCCTGGGATATTTCAGCATCTCTGTGTTAGCAGGGATTGCTCCTTCTGCCTGAGACATGCTCCTCCCCTTTTTCCTCTTCTTCTAGGAAACTCCTACTTCTACATTGAGATTATTAAGCTGGTGGGACAACCACACAATTACACGCCTTGTGATGTAATGTAACAAGAAGGACACGAGTCCACCTGAGAATTCTTTTTTTTTTTTTTAAAGATTTTTATTGGGGAATTGGGGGGATGGGAACAGTGCTGGAGAATTGGGGGGAAGGGGAACAGACAAGTTGCTGTCCTTTTGTTCTTCAGTCTAGTTGTGGAGGACGTTGCTTCACTGGCCCAAGTTGGCACCATCATT